TCTGGTAGCATCTGTGAAGGAAAAAACAAAGTTAACATTTCGGGTCCAGTGACCCTTCTGAGGTTCTGAGGAAGGATCACTGGACCCGAAACGTTAACTCTATTTTTGACATCACAGATGCTGCCAGACCTGCTGTGCTTTTCCAGCGACTTTGTTTTTGTTCCTGATTTATAGCATCCACAGTTCTTTCGGTTTTTATTTAATGTTTTAATTCAATTCAATTCAATAAGATGCTGTTAAATCTTTAATCGGTTAGAAGGTTTTAATAGATTAATATGTATATGTAAATCGCCAAATTTCTTTCAAGTCACTTCCCTGCGAGAACTAAAGGTGTTATCAGTGTAAAGAAGAGGTGACATTTTAGGTCAGACAATACATGTTAGGTGTTTAGAATTTGTTTGTGTTTTGGTTTGAAGTCAGACTGGTTTTATTTCTAACATAAGAATTTATAAAATGACACATTGACTGACTGTCTATAAATTGTGTGCTTTTTGACACACACACACTCTCTCTCTCTCCCTCACACACACATACATATACACATACACATGCACACACACATATAAATCTGTGGGTGAACTTGCATTTGCAGATACATTCTATTTTGTTCAAAAAGCACACAATTTATAGACAGTCAGTCAATGTGGCGTTTTATAAATTCCTACTTTAGAAATAAAATCAGTCTGACTCCAAACCAAAACACAAACAGATTCTAAACAAAGCCTCACACCTAACATGCATTGTCTGACCTAAAACGTCACCTCTTCTTTATATTGATAAAACCTTTAGTTCTCTAAGATTTAACTGTATCTTACGTTTGTTTAATAATCCTCATCAGCTGTGTGAACCTTTGATCTTTTACTTATAAATTCTGTGTTCTATGTGCTTCTTTCTCCATTCACCTGACGAAGAGACTACACTCCAAAAGCTTACGTTTTCAAATAAACCTGTTAGAAGACAACCTGGTGTTGTGTGATTTCTAATGGAATTTATAGGCGGAGAGATTGTTGCAATATAATTCTAGGTAATTAAGAGTTTCAAAAGATAGTGCAAATGGTGTGAGTGGAGATTCTACAGGCTGTATAACAAGTCTTTGCAGGAGATCGAAAGTGTCAAATGATGTGAGAAAGGTGTGAATAGCTGAATAGCAAGTGAAGAAATGACCTATGATCCAATTAATTAAGGCAGAGAGATAATGACAAAAAATAATTTGAAACTTTGAAATAAACTAAGCCAGATTTAGAGTTAGCTCTAAACACAAAAAAACCAAAGAACTGCAGATGTTGGAAATCTGAAACAACAGAAATTGCTGTGAAAACTCAGCAGGTCTGGCAGTATTCTGTGGCAAGAAAGCAGAGTTAATGTTTTGAGTCCAGTGACACTTCTTCAGAACTGGGCAGTGCTTCTGTTTTCTATTCTGTTCTATTTCTGTTTCTGTTTTAGATTAACTCCTTAAGTTCTGTGCTGGTGAATAGGCATCAAGAATTTGCCAAGCACCAGTCCATCGCAATCTCTTTCACTCCAGCCCTGGTGGTGGTTCCACTCTTGAAAGTCTTCCTTATATCTACTACACCAGATCTTCTTTTGCTGGCCATGTCTTCTTTTCCCATCTGATAGTGTCCATTCAACTGCCACTCTAGCAATGTCTAGTCCAAACCACGAAATCTGCATCCTGTCAGTCTCAGCCTCTCTTTTTCGCACAGAGGGTGGGTCGATTGTAGAAAGAACTGTCTGAGGAAGTAGTAGATTCAGGAACAGTTACAACATTTCAAAGACATTTAGACAGGTACATGAATAGGGAAGATTTCAAGGGATATTGGACTAGTTTAGTTTGGGAAACTTAATTGGCTTGGGCAAATTGGACGGAAGGGTCTGTTTCCATGCTGTATGACTCTATGATTCTCTGTCACAATGTTCACTGCACACTCATGTGCAGAATTTCTTCATTGATGTTGTCTCTCCAAATGAGTCGATGGATCTTAGTGGTAGAAGACATCTGACTTGGGCATCCTCTTCCATGTCTCACTGGAATAGACTGCAGTTAGTACATGTAAGGTCCAGTTTCGTAACCATGCTGATTGTGTTGGATGCCCCTACTGTGTCAAGGTGTGGGGTGACTGTTGATGCTATGTATATCATATGGCCATTGATTTTTCAGCGTTTGGTGTTTGGCATTCTCAATATTCCTTTGCACGATAATAATGTGGGTCCAGTCATCATTGTCTTTGTCTTCTCACAACTGGTCTGTAGACCGACCTCAGTATTACTACACTCAATACTTGTGGCTGGGTCTTGGAGCATATGTTAGTCTTTAACCACCAAGACAACGCCATCTGAAAACAATAGCTCTGTGAACCAGCAGTGTTGCCATTGGATACCAAGTGTGTATCGACCATCACCTTCCTCATTATAAAATTATGTCAAAAAAAGGAAAGGAATTGACAGTGTATGAAAGCTTGCCATGCTCTTGTGATGATGTTGAAGTCCATGGCGCCTTTCCTGGTCTTCATTCAGCAGCTGGAGTCATGATATAATGTTTTAAAGATATTGGTAAACTACTCCGAATACTGTATTGTCTTATGATGTACCAAAGTGATTGTTAATGAATGCTATAGAAAGCCTTCTTGAAATCAATGAAATGGAAACCCTAGTCTTTGCTCAATTATGTTGTTGAGGGTAAAGATCTGCTCACAGTGTGATCTAGCATCTCAGAAAGAGTACTGTGCTGAAGATAATTCCTGTTCCTTACAGCTGAGTTATACCCCTCCAGTTGTTGTAGCTATGGAGTTTCTTTGGCAGCTTGAATATTAGTGCTCATTTCTAGCATTCTGGTGTATCGTTCACACAGTCTAGATCTTGTTTAACAGGTTTGTGAGCTGTGCTGGTAGTTCTTAAATTCCACATGCCATGTTGTTCTTCAGTCTCCTTAAAGGTTTTCCCAGATGGCGCTATCTACTAGGATATTGATTTGTAAAGTTTTGTGAAGCTGAGTCTAAATTCTTCCAATTTTCAGTGGCAGGTCTATCTACCATTCCCGATCCAAGTATTGAATCAGGATCACTGGTCCAGTGTCAGGAGTAAACGAATCAGTTTATTTGCACTGTCTCTTCTAGCCTTACGACCATTTCCAAGTCTACAGTCCACTCTAGTCTCGTGAATGACCCAACACTGGAGATCAATGTATGGTTGGAAACTTTAGTTGAATATATTCCTGAATGATTGTTGCTGAAATGACCTCCTAGATCAACTACCTGACCACTCAAACAGCCTTTTATTTTTGCATCTCTCGCATTTTTACGTTTAATAAATTATATGTGCAAAGAAAATTGAAATCTTTTCAATGCCCCAACAATCTTTCCTCCAGATTTCTTGCAGCTAAGTCTTCTGAATTAATGTTCAATTCATAGAGATTCCAACCAATCCTGGAAGGTTGGCAATTCTAGAAAGAATTTTCCATCATATTGGGCAGCATGGTGACTCACTGGGACCCAGGTTCAATTCCAGCCTTGGGTGACTGTCTGTGTTGAGTTTGCACATCCTTTCCGTATCTGCGTGGGTTTCCTTCCACAGTCTAAAGATGTACAGGTTACATGGATTGTCCACAGTGTCCAAGGATGTGCAGGCTAGGTGAATTAGCCATGGTAGGTGTGGGGTTACAAGGATGGGGTGGGGCAGCTGAATCTGGATGGGATGCTCTTAAGACAGACAGTACAGGACTCAGAGATAGTAGGAACTGCAGATGCTGGAGAATCTGAGATAACAAGGTGCAGACCTGGATGAACACAGCAGGCCAAGCAGCATCAGCGGAGCAGGAAGGCTGACGTTTCGAGCCTGGGTCTAGGCCTTTGTACATTTCTAAATTAAAGGTGCTATATTGATGTTTAAAAGACTTTTTATTGTTGATTATGGACTGAAATGGGAAAAAAGGACTATTCTCAAAAGCAAGGATTGTTGCACTTTTAAACAAAAAAGTTACAGAAACTAATTTCCCCTGCTGCTTTGTTCAAGCAGTGAGGTGTGGTGATGGCAGATGGGCTGGCACCAAGGGAACTGTAGAAAGTGAGATTCAGCCAGCAACAAATAGCTGATTGGTTTGTGGAGTAATACCCAACTGCAGATAACTAAGGTCATCTGCCTGCCAACAACTATGTGGTTGCTCAACACCATCCAGGAAAAGCAGTCCGTTTGTTTGACATCCAATCCAACAACTTCCACATTCACTCCCTCCACCACAGATGTAAACCAGCAACAGTACGTACCATACATCAATGCACAACAATAACATACTAATCCTTCTTCAGCAGTGCTTTGCAAACCTGCTATCTCAACCACCTAGAACACAAGCAACAGACACATAGGAACACCAATAACTGCAAGATTCTCTACATTGCACACATCAATAAAACCGTAAGGAACAGGAACAAGAGTAGGGCATTCAGCCCCTTGAGCTTGCTCCACCATTCAATAGGATCATGGTTGATCATTCTTCATGTCCAGTTTCTTGCCTTTTCCCTACAACTCTTGATTCTCCACACAAGTCTGACTTGGAGTGTATCACCCACCATTCCTTTATTATCAATGCATCAAAATCCTGGAGCTGCCTTCTGTAAAAAGTGTACACGAGATAAATAATAGCAGTTCAAGAAAACAGCTTATCATTATCTTCTCAAGGTCAATTAGAGCCAAGCCAAAAATGTAGGTCTTGCACGTGATTCCCACACCACTTTAAGGGATTAGTTGCAGAACTTAATTTTTCAAACAAAAAACATCTGTCTGATAACACAACTTGCATCCAGTTAAGTATCCGATTATTATAATGCATAGCAGGCTTAAGCAAGTAATTCTAAAACAGATTTGCCACCTTTAGCTCAAACTAAATGGCAGCCGATGTGCAGTTGTCCACTCTCAGGGAGTTTCAGTTGCACTCAACGATGTGCAATCGCCTGGACATCTTTAAAACTACAAACTCGACACCAAAAGCTATCAATTAAAATGGAGGACTATTTACTACTCACAACTGTTTATTATGGGACTATATTCGTTACTGAGCCTTTCAATCTTGTTATATTCTACGTTTAGTGAGCGGTAAACAAAAGCAACGCCCACATCCAATATATTCCCCGATGCTGTTTTCCATGGGATTCTGAACTGTGCGTAATATGCCAATCCTGGTGCAGGCAGGAGGCATGAGGGAAGATTCAAGCTTTTCAACCGTGAAAGTCAGTCCAATAACGTGGAAAAGGTTAAACCTAGAATATGACTTTAAACTACTCGAAAATAAACTATCGAGCCATATCAAAAAGGTTTTGATCGACATTTGAAACGGGCATCTAATTAGAGTTCACAAGGCAGATTTTCTGTAAGCATCAAAGAAACAATGAGCTCCTGCTATGGGGAACAGGGGCTTTACAGGATTTGCAGCTCCTGTTGTTTGTTGCTGTGAACTCGGAAGACTCTCCGAACGAGCACAGGTGTCGCTTCTGAGTGAAAGATTGACCGACCAATGGGGAGATGTGGAAACGTCACCTGTAGCTGCAGGTCGGGGCGGGACATTTGGTGTTGGAGCGATCGCTTGGGTCTCGGGGCTGAAATACGCTTCGGAGGTGTACTGAGGCACTGTTCGAGCTGTCACTCCTCCAGCCCCATGTCGGCTGAGCGCGACGCCGTGCAGATCCCCGATGACTTGGCGTTCGCCTCGTTCAGACAGCGCTGTGAATCGGAGCAGGGCTGGCAGCAGAAATACAGTAAACTGGAGATAGGCGTCTGGGTGCAGGCCGCGACTGAGGGCAAAGCCGTCCATAGGATCAAGGTAAAAGAAACAACGGGGCAGGGGATTGACAGGGACTGGGAACATTGGGGGTCAACGTGGGTTGCCCTGGGGAATGGGGAAATAATGAGAAAAGAAAGAAGTCGTCATTACTTATCACCGCCATAAAGACCACACCGCCCCATGAGTAATGAAGTTCGTTTACAGAATACTCGCTGGTGTAATGTGTGGAAACGTAACTCTGCAAAGAGAGACAAGTGAAAAGATCATCTGTTTGATTACACTGTGGGACAAATGTTAGCCTGAACACCAAGCCAACTCCCCTACTCTTTGAATAGTGTCATGGGATCTTTGGAAGGACAATTTAACACGTCATCCAAAAGAGGGCACCTCGAACAACGCAGGAATCCATCAGCATTGGCCTATTTTATATCTAAGTCTATATCCAATCTTTACATACTGATGGGAATACAACTGAGCCAAAGCTAAACAAATAATAGTTACTGAAAAGTCTAGCAGTGATAGAAGGGGGAGATGGTTCAGAAATCCAGAAGAGACTGGCAAACATATCTAGAGGGATAGAAGAGATGAAAAGGACAAATGCAATTGAAACCGTGCAATAGGATCTAAGATTTTTGTTTGAAATGGTTTGTAAAAAGGGGACTAAGATCCCAGTTGCAAATTCTTCATCCAGAATGCAAACCCATCTGTTCTCAAGATGGACGGACTGCACATTTCCATCTTTTTAATTCTCACTTTCTGGTGCACCTCTTATCTAACACCCAGTGTCATTTGTAGGAGTAGCATCACTACAAGGTTTGCAGTGGTTCATGGAAATAGCTGACTATCACTTTTATTAAAACAGTAGGGATGAACAATAAATCAGGTGTCTGATACTATATTACCAAGGACACATTTTAATTGTGGTTTTGTTATTTATAAACAAAATATAGTTGTTATCAAGAAGGGAGCATGATGTTATTTATAGCAAAGGAAAAACGTGCAAAGGATTTGAATGTTATTGGCCCCAAATTGGGGTCCTAACGAACAGAAAGTACTGGTAGACTATCCTTGAATCTGCTATCAATAAGGTGTCTTTGTGTTGTTACATTAAAATATGCAAAAGTAAGTTACTGCAAATCAAATGGTAAAGATTTAGTGACTTTCTTTTTATTTTAAGCATGCTGATTTCAATACTCTAAACCTACTGACAATGCTAATATGAAATTGCAGAGTATACTGATATCTTCCATGATATTAACTAGTATTAAGTGTCTTTTGAAGGTGTAGAATTTAAATGATAAAGACTTTGGCAACTATATAATTATTAGTAGCAATCTAAGGAATAGGAATATCTTAATTATAGGAATTTTCAGAGCTTGCCATTGAACATATCTGCTATAATACTTATAAGTAGTTTGATGTGGCACATCTCTGAAATTCCACATTGTGCTGCAATATGAGCTTTGCCTTTTTATCTATCTTTCCCCTCAAGTTCCTATTTCACTAGGCTATATTAGCAACGTTTTATTTATTTCTGAAGCGACAGCCATGTGATGGGATGGATGCTTTAATCTTAAATCAATGACAAAGGTGGTAGAATCACCAAAGCATGTTCTGAAGTTGGCCACTACTTGCAAGAAAGGTGTTTTTTTTTTTTTTTTAACCTCCCCAGGTTCTTCTGTATGGAATCCATTTGTAATGCCTCAGTTACATGTGTTACAGCAAGGTTAGCAAGGTGGATAAATGAAAAGCTTTAGCAAGACAGGGTGGTGAGGAAGGCATTTGGCATGCTTGCTTTCATTGATCAGAGTGTTGAGTATAGGAGTTGGAATGTAGTGGCTGTACAAAACATTGGTGAGGCCACTTTTGGAATACTATGTACAATTCTGGTCACCCTCTTTATAGAAAGGATGTTCTTAAACTAGAAAGGGTGCAGGAAAAATTTTTAAGGATATTGCCAGGACTGGAGGGCTTGAGTTACAAGGAGAGGTTGGATACACTGAGACTCTCTTTTCCCCCCCCCCCCCAGAGTGTAGGAAGTTGAGTGGTGACCTTTTTAGAGGTTTATAAAACCATGAGGGGCATAATAAGGTGAACAGCCAAGGTCTTTTTCCATGGGTAGGGGAGACCAAAACTAGATGGCATATGTTTAAGGTGAGAGGTGAAAAGATTTGAAAGGGACCTGAGGGGCAACGTTTTCATGCAGACTGTGGTGTGTGGATGGAATGAGCTGCCACAGGAAGTGGTAGAGGTGAGTACAATTACAACACTTGAAAGACATTTGGACAGGTATGTGAATAGGAAAGGTTTAGAGGGTTACGTGCCAAATGCAGGCAAATGGGATTAGTTAAGTTTGGGATACCTAGTCAGCGTTGATGAGTTGGACAGAAAGATCTGTTTCCATGATGTGACTCTGACTCTATTAAATTCATCATCTGCTTGTATCAGACAGCTAACTGTGATAAAGCAGTCATGTGCGTTTTATGTAAAATGATCTGGTCTCTTTTAATAAATTTTCAGATTAAGTTATAACTGTAAACTGACTTTTCTAAAATCCTCTGCATATCTTTTAATATCACTTGTACTTTAAGGAGCTTTTTGGGTGAGCTTATGGAACTACGATACATAGAGCAGGATAAATGTTTATAGAAGTTATCTATATGACAATGAAACAGTTTTTAAACTGAGGAGTTGCTGTCCAAAAACATTGCTGTAAGTTAATAATTCATAGTCACTTATTTGAATACAGACACGAGGCAGTGTTACTTAAATTTTACAAACTCAAGAAAATCAATTTCTGATTTAATGCAGAAAGTTATTCTCGTGCTGGGGTGCAATATTTATCAAGTCCAGAGTTTATTTTGACATGGGGCAGCCTGGACAGATTCATGCCAGTCATCACCATCTCTAAGAAATAATGGAAATGTAAAGTTCATGGATCTATGTAATACTGCGCTTTTGTTTTTTTTACTGCTTACCTGGAACACTGGCCACTGTGGTGTCATGCACATATTTTCAAGAATTTACCTGATTTTATATATAGTAAAAACAGGATGATTTATGCACTATTCCATTGCGTAGCTTATGCAAGATGCTGCTTTTATGTCTTGCCGCACTTCATTTAGATTTGTTCTAAATTTTAGAGTCCAGAATGCAAGTGTCACCCAGTGGTGGTGTCCTCAGTATGAAGATAGGACTTATCCTGTACAAGAACAGAGCAGGAATCACACCTGTGAATAGTGATCAAAGTCATTTGTGACTGGTAAATTGAGGTTTTTTTTTTTTATTTTTCCCTCACCATCAGTCCTAGGCCCAAGCTGCCAGTTGTTTCCTTTTTTGAGATTCTGGTTGCTCAATCAGTATTGATACCACTGGAGGACCAAATCCCTCCCCTAAAGTGCCCTAGCCACTTCCAGTTCAATGTAAAAGTGTAATGATTGTACAAGGTCTGCCCTGTTTGGGGCTGTTAATCTGGTCCAGTCAGGGAGCTCTGGCTCACAGATATAAACAGGAGTGTCAGAGGTCTTCCTCACTGAGAGCTGGCTCTGAGGGAGCTGGATCAGTGTCAAGGACTCTCTACGTATGAATAAAGAGTGACTTGGTGACAGAATATCGGCCTCTGTGGACTTCAGAAAGAAGGTTGATTCAGCAATGAGGGAAGGCAATTGTGGAAATCAGGAACAAGGTGCAGAGCTGGATGAACACAGCAGGCTAAGCAGCATCATAGGTAGCCTGCTGTGTTCATCCAGCTCTGCACCTTGTTGTCTCGGATTCTCCAGCATCTGCAATTCCTACTATCTCTGATTCAGTGGAAATCAGGACACTTCTTTGCTTCAAACTTGGCTTCAGAGTAAAAATACACTGTTCCGTCTAAGCTGCATAGCTGCAAGATCAAAGTGCATGCTATTATGCAAAAATACTTGTGCACTACACCCCACCAAAGAAAAAGTACCTTGGTATGAAATATAACTCACTCAGAGATAGTAAGAACTGCAGATGCTGGAGTCCAAGATAAGTGTGCAGCTGGAGGAACACAGCAGGCCAGGCTGCAGAGGAGCAGGAAAATTGATGTTGACAGGCATTCCATCCTCACTGACTGAGCTGCTGTCTCTGGTAGACTGTCCTGATTGTGGAACAGAACATACCCAGGAATTGTTCTGGAAGTGTATATCCTGTTAGTTGAAAGTCCTGTGCAAAAACTATACGTAGTGGATTGTTTCTCGACTGCCAAAATTTGGACAAATCCCAAATGTTAGTGAAGAGTCTGCTGTGTATGGTCCTCTGATTTTATATTGCTACTTTATCCAATTTTATTCTTGCATCAAAACCACAATGAGAACCTACAACTTGATGACTTGGTAGGCCATTCAAAAAGCAGTTAAAAGTCAAGCACATTGCTGTATGTCTGCAGCCATATAATAGACCAGACTGCCTAAGGACATCAGACTACCCTCCCTAAAATACTTCTTTGGGAACTATATAGATGATTATGAAAATCTGAGTTTTACAGTCAGTTTTACAGTACTTTTTCAGTTCTGTTTAACTGAATTTAAATTTCGCTTCTACCAGCTGGGTTTTAAATTCTCTCAATCTTTATACCAAGCTTCTAGATTACTGTTCCAGTAACAATTGCTATGCTATTGTAGATGTTTCTGTCTGTGGTGGGGAACAGTGATAGACACGCACATAAGCATCTTTATGCCATCATCTGATTATGTAATTAAGAAGGTCTAGATTAGATTTGCGTGTGTTAGGAATAATTGAACAGAACATTTGCTCCATCTTTATCACAGTTTGTAATCTGTGTGGGAAGAAAAGAACTATGAAGTCACATGAAAATGTTTTCATACCAAACAAAGTCATCAGTATTGCTCCAGATTTCACTGTTTGAATGAAACTATGCCCTGATTTATACATTTTAAATTCAGGTTATGTTATTTACACATATGCACTTTAACTGGTAATGCCTTCTTTAAAAAAAGTACAATGTGATTAGGAAGGAAAAAAATTTTATTTATATACGCTTTCTACATGTCAAA